TAGAATAGAATAAAAATATTCTTCATTGTCCCACAGTGGAGAAATTTATGAATATTTGTATTATTTTTAGCTAAAAATGATAAAGAGTAAAAAAAAAAAGCCCAATAATTTAACAGAATTATCATACTGCAAAACTGCAAAATGTTAAAAGTTTGCCTTTTTTTAAAACTAAAGTTATAAGACTGCATAGTGTTTATGAAGTGCTGCATTTTGCTTATTATTCTATCTTAAATTCATAACATTGTGGCGCTGTTTCATATTTTTACGAAAATTAAAAATGAAGTTTGTGAAAATACATTTTAATATGCAGTTTAAGTATTTCTTTTGCATATTTCAATGATATTAGAAACTATCTTTTTCTGGGTTTTACTTGCAGTTTTTATTTATTAGAAGCTTAAGGGGAAGAAGTTCAGAGGGGAGAATCTGATGGAAGAAACACAGATTAATTGAAATATCTGATTTCAGTTTGGTTTAACTAATTTATAATCCACAGAACATAATTCTGATCAATCCTTCCTGACTTCAGTGATAAAATTAATCTCATTCAAATTGCTGACTTCTTTAGGATATGAAATCTTTTTGTAAATTATAGAAATCTTTGTTTTAATTGCATAACCTGTTTGCTTGCAATGTGTTAACACATTTTAGTCACAAATTCACCAATCTTTAGTTTTGACTATCGTCAAATACGACTGCTTGTACTACTTATGTTTAGTGTTATTTAGTTATTTTTTATTGTTTTAAACAATGACAGAGATGACAGAGAAATTGGATGATTTGTCCTTTATTTTGTTTGCATATGAATCCTGTCTTCAAAACTTTTGGGTTTTTTTTATCCTTGATTTACCCATTATAATAGAGATTATTATGATCCGTAGCTGTTTTGATCACTTCTGTGATGTTTATTTGCTCATATTCTGACATTTTAGTTTGTTTATCCTCATTGTTTCTTTCAGTTAGGTTTATTTTTCACGTTTCCCTCAGCTGCCCTTCCCCAGCTGCATTTACTCACCTGTAATTAGCTCTTCTGGTCTATTTGTCACTTACATTGCTTCCATATTATTTAAACTCTTTAGATTGGATCCTTTCTGGTTCATCTTCAGCATAAAATACACACAAAAGACTACCTCACAAGAAAATAAAATTACATAAAAGGTCAAAAAAGGGGGCCAGAGGTATTTTAATTTTCCGTTAAAATCTTAATTTGCGTGAGTGAGGATTCTAAATCGCTGTAACAGAAGCTGTAAAATGCAGAACGTGAAAATTTGATCAGAAAAACAACATTTTTGCAGTGATTCTGTGATCAGATGTGAGACTCATCCAGAGACCAGCGTCTCTGGATGAGTTCTGGTTCAGAGCATCTAATGCCTCGAACCAGTCTGTGGAACGGCTCAGAAATCTGCTGGATTCTCACAGAACTAAGGAGGAGATGGAAGGCGGCCATTTTCCAGCAGAACTGTATCAGACACAGAATCACATACAAAACAATTGTAACCCCCCCTCCCTCCTCAAAAAAACAAACATAATAAAGGCGTAAAAAAGTCCGTCTTTTGACAAGTGATACTTGTTTCTACCATAAATGTGAAGGACGTTTAGGTTATATATTTAGTTATCATATCTACGGATTCACAAGAAGTGCAAGAAAAGTAGCTTTAATTCTGGAACAAATGTGCCACGGTGTTTCGGTGTGATACAGAGTAGCTTCTAGCTGCACAGATCTACGCGGCTTGTTCTTTCCTGTGCAGATCTAAATTAATCTAGTTATTTCTTCATGGACATTTCAAGAAAATGGCCAGGTTTAGATTTTTCAATGTGCTTTTGTGAGTTTATTTTTCTCTCTACAGACTCAAATCTCCTTTTTTCTCCAACATAAGTTTTTGTTGCATTTTGTTGAAATATTTAATTGCACCTGAAGAGTGAAAGGTAAAAGCATGTATACTATAATCCTGTTTTTATTTATTTATTTATTATTTTATTTTCTACTCTATTCTAAACCTACCAGGAAATGGCTGCTAACCAGTGTTGTAGTACTCGAGATCGGTCTTGGTCTCGAGACTGGTTTCGGACTCGACCGCATTTGGTCTCGGTCTTGTCTCGGTCTCGGGCGCTGAGGACTCGGCATTTTATTTCAAGACCAGTCAAGACCGCAACTGTGAAAATATCACTAAACGTGCAGCATTCTGTCCACTTTGTTAACATCTTTGTTTTCAGTGGATGCAAAACGCACCGATTAAAATCCAAGCAACTACGTGTTTCTGTTACTCCCCCCTCCCCACCTTTCACTCGCGCGCGGCGCTCCAGGACATGCGCAGTGGTTTCCTCTCAGCGGCAGAAAATGTTTGTCTAATCGTCAGTAATATAATAGCGCTGCATAAATAGTAAGAAATCCGATGGCCACAGCTAACTCAGCAGCGCTTCGCTTTCGCAGATGGTGGGGACAACGTCTAACTATTTTCGTCACTTAGAAAAGTAGCTCAAAAAAGGTAAGCTCCGTTTACGTGATGTTAGCAAAGCTAGCTGTACAGAGACACATAAGCATTGTGATGAAAAATGTTATCACTCACTGTGCTGAATTATTGTGCGGAGGTGTAGACTGACTTGTCGCATATATGGGACAACGCTATGTCCAAAAGTCCGCAATATAGTTATGTGACATTCAGAAACAGTCGATTCTTCTCCACGGCTCTTTACTTATTAGATAGGACTGGAGTGTCACTCACTGAGAGCCGTTGTTCTATCAGATTACCATACGCTGTCAGAATAGCATACAGGCAGTGAGTACCATGCCTGCGCATGCGCATTAAGAAGTCTGACTGTCAGAAGAGTTGTCAGTTCACCATATGCAACAAGTTATGACTAAAATAAATCATGAAATTGTTTTCAATGATAACTATATAGATATATATGCGTTGTTGTGGTTTCAAAGTGTATTTAAAGCAGGGTCTGGCTGCAGCTCCAGTCAACTACAACACATGCTGTGTAAAACTCAGCGAGGGTTTTTAATTGCTGATTAAATAAAATCATAAGGTAATGACTGTCTGACAGATATAGCTGTGAGTTCGTGCTAAGCGTATGACGATTTGACAGGGTATGCTGACCTGATAGAACACCGTTCTTTGTTCTTGTAATGCTCTGCGTACACTGCAGTAGCTATCATTATTTTTAGCTAATTAATTATGTACATTGATATTTTTTTAATGAACAAATTAATAAAACACAAGATCGAAAGAGCACGCAGAGCAATCACATTGTTCTTTGATTGTTTTCGTTCACAGTGGCAGCTGTAATGTGTGCCATTGTGTCAGACTACCTGGCTTCATGTAGCAGGAGAGAGGGTGAGAACAGTCACGATGAATGTCTTGTGCTTGGTTACTTCTTGCTTGTTGCTCCTTGGTCAGTTTTCATAGTTGAGCATTATTTACCATCAGGGCATTGCCTCAATTGCTATGTTTAGTGGTGCAGACAGCGGTGGTTTCTGACATGAGCAATATGGGCAAATGCCCAGGGCGTTATCTTTTTAGGATGGCACAAGACCACCACGAATTATAACACAAAGATGGAAGATGGCTTTTAATATTGGTAAAATGTATTAAGTATGTAATATCTAGGTGTTTATATGGGAATATGGATCTTTCAGATCAATTTGAGAAGCAAATTTGATCATATTTCACATTTTATGATGGGAAATATTATCACATCATAAAGCATGGGCCGCTGGTCTTGGTCTTGACTCGGTCTCGACTTCCCTCGGTCTTGGACTTCCCTCGGTCTTGGTCTCGGACCCTAATAGTCTTGGTCTTGTCTCGGTCTTGATACACTCTGGTCTTGGTCTTGTCTTGGTCTCGGGTTAAGTGGTCTTGACCACAACACTGCTGCTAGAACCTGCAGGACCAAAAGGTCCATTGTAACTCTGGAGGAGCTGGAGAAGATGACAGCTCAGGTGATAAAATCATTCAACAATTAGTCATATATTCCACAAAAATACGAACTACTATGATTTTATTCTTTTTTCAGCAAAGAAAATTAGATTTTTTTTTCTCTTTAAAATCCTCACTCTCTTCAGCCATATCATCCCACGTCTGTTTGTCACTAGTGGCTGGATGCATTTGGCTCTTCTTATGATTATCATGATCGCTTTTGGTTCTCATATTAACCACCTTTGCAAGACTTCCAAATAAAATTCTCCCCCTCTCAGACAATTGGTCCATGCCTCCGTCTCCTCCAGACTGGACTACTGAAACTCTCTTCTCATTGGGATTCCCTTCAAAACAGAACGCTCCAGCAGGGATCTTAATAAGAGCTGCAGACATGATCATATTACATTGCAGTTTTCTGGCCGATCGTTGATGTTTAAAATATCTGACCCGCCGATTCCGATTTAGTTTTTTTTTCTGAAATGTCGCTAAATATAGCAAGAAAGTCGCTGAATTGGTAACAGCGTGGCGATTGTTGTGGAATACAAATGTGCAGACATGAGCTGATGGTGTGATCTCAGTCAAACCTCTTTCAATGCAAAGCAAAAGAAGAGAGCAATTGATTTTTACGCCTTTGTTGAGAGAAGACTGACTTCACATGTAAGTATCGGCTGATCACAGATCTCGGGTTATAGTCACCAATAATTCATCTGGCCGATAAATCAGTGGATCCCTTCTTAAAACATTTCTGTTTTAGAAAACAATTTCTTAGATATTGATTTCAATGTCTTATTTATGCATTTATTCAATTTTTATCCATTGTAATTGCTTTTTTTTTAACCTTAGATCTAAAGGGCAATATGAATAAAATCTATTATTATTATGAAATATAAAAAGAACATAACTAATAATAGAAAAAATATATCTTTCTCTTGTTTCTTTAATTTCAAACCCGGTTCCTTCCAACAGGTTTCCATCATGTGTCAATATGTGTGCATGAATTTGTGCACAGTGTTGCCAGGGACCCTCAATGCTCCCCCCTCTCTTTCTTCTTCTCCTTCTTTCTCTCCAGCTCTCTCCACCCCTCTGTCTCTCTCTGTTTCCCTCCCGACCCTGCTCTCATTCCTTCAGGTCCCTCCAGCCGCCTCCTTCAGCAGAAGCGGGGGATCATAGGCAGAGGAGAAGTGACGGGAGAGCAGCATCAGCATCTCCCTCACTGCGGGACGCAGGGAGACAGGAAAGAGAGGTGGAGGAATTAAGTTAGTTGGAGAGACCAGGGAGAGAGAGTTGGAGCTGTTTAGGTGGCAGCTGGGAGACCAGGAGCTTCTTTTCCTCCTTCCTCTTTCTGGCTGTGAGCTCTCTCTGGCTCCCCTTTTCCTCCTTCTCCTCCTCTTCTTCGTCTCCTCTGCTCCTTCTTCTCACCCCGACTCTCCTCCCAGCTCCCGCCGTGGGGTCTCAGCTCTCCATCTCCCTCCCCCCCTCCCTGACTCCCTACCTCCCCCGGGCGCTGCTTGGAGACTCCGGGCTGCTGCGCCGCCGGAGGATGTCTCGGAGGGAGTCTCCGCCGCCGCCTCCACAGCTGCTGGGGGGTCAGGGGGGCGACTGCGAGGACCGTCCGGAGCGCACGGAGCCGCTGTCCGACTCGGAGCGGGAGATCATCCAGGACACGTGGGGGCACGTCTACAAAAACTGTGAGGATGTGGGGGTTTCTGTGCTCATCCGGTAAGAAAAGCCTGCATTTTCTTTAATGAAAACAACGATGAAAACGTGCGTGAGCTCCCATTTACGACTTTACTTCACTACTTCAGTCTTTGTACTGATTTAGTTTGGAGGTATAACTTGCAGATGAGCACTATTTAGTGCACTTAGTCTCTAATGGGAATGAAAAGTATTAATGGTCAGATCCGGAGTTGGGTAGTTAGTAGGATTGCACTCATTTCCTTGGAAATCAAAAAAGAAGTTGTGTTTTAACGTTTTTTTGTTTTTTGTAATTTAGAAGCATAGTAAAAAAAATGGAAATAAACTTGAGTTGCTTTGGCAAAAACAAAAAATTATCTTCTGCACTACTAAATATGGAAAATGTAATTTTCCATAATTTTTATTGTGAAGAGGACTTAGCAGGAAGAAAACCTGTTGGAGGGAACAGGGTTCAATTAAGAGATAAAGAAATACATCTTTTATTATTAGTTATGTTTCTTTTTTTCATTTTCATATCATAATAGATTTTATTTATAATGCCATTTATATCTTTAAATCTTAAAAGGCAAAAATAAAACAAGGAATTGCAATGGATAAAAGTAATTTAATTAATTAATTAATTAAAGAGATTCAAGCTAATATCTAAGAAAGGGAGCCAAAAAATTTTAATTTGGGGAGATCAGTGATGGCTGACACGTGAAGCTGATCTTCTCTTCCTCAGCAAAGGATTAAAAACCGACCGTTATCTTCTTCTGCTCTCCTGTTAGAGAGGTTTGACTGACAGACCGGCCCATCAGGTTACATCTGTACGTTCGCAGTTAGCAATAGTCACTCCACTGTTACCAACTCAGTGACTTTCTTGTTACATTTAGTGACATTTCAGACAAAAAAAAAAAAAAAAATGGTATCGACCAAAATCAGAATCAGCAGGTCAGGACTTTTAAAGATCGGTAATCGGCGATCAACCGGAAAACTGCAACAGGTGCAGCCCTAGTCGTTACATAAAGCAGTCTGTCTCAAACTGTGGTCCGCGGTCGCCCCCTAGTGGACCGCAAGGTACTGCATGTAAACGACCGTTTATTTGCCATGACGTCAGCTCAAAGTGCGACGCTACAACTAGCTTACCAAAGGACAAAAACCGAAGATACGGTGGAAAGAAAACAATGCCATGACAGCTTATATGATCACAGGAAGCTAAGTCATTACTACTGAGAGTATTGATCTCGTTTACTAGTGATTTGATTCTTTTGAACGGCTCTAGACTCAAGTCTCAGTTGGTAAGAACTGTTCTTTATTTTTTACGATTTTGCTTGCTTATAATTTTCAGCTCGCACATCAACAACTGTTCTTTTCTTTTACTATGCTTCTAGACTACAAATACCCTTAAAATGCTATTAATGCACACAACACAACTTCTTTGATTTCCATGTGTTTGGCATTATTGGAAAGCTTAGAATCCACACTTTCAGAACCTGTAAATAACTCGAGTATATTTATTCATGGTATTGTGGCATGTTGTGTTATTGTGGGTCAGTTTCAAGTTATTTGGTCTGTTTGCTAAATTGGTTAGATGGTCCTTGGTCTTAAAAAGTTTGAGAAACGCTGCATTAAAGGGACTCTGACATGTTTGCTATGAAGTTCCAGCTTCCTGTGGGTGACCAGGGGTTTGTTTGTTGTTCTGTTGTTTGGAGATTTTAGTGACGTTCCTGGATATGCAGTGGCATTGTCTGGATGTGCAGTTTTTTTGTTGTTTCTTCTGCCTGAATCTCTTATGTCATTTATTTGTAAATTGTTTTCCAACATGCATAGAAGAATCAAAGCAACACTCTAGGTGTATTTTTTTAAGAGAGAATAATACTATAACATGATATAAAGCTAAAAAAAGAGTACATTTTACATAATCCCTCTATAACTCTCAGACCACCCATGAGGGATTTACAGGTGTGCTGCCATTATGATGCTGCTAAATGTCCCCGGCTCTGGTTTCCAAATACTTAAATTTTACACTCATCTTTTCCTAAAGTCCTGGTCTTTATCTATGTACTTGTTGGCAAAATTTAGTTTGACCTTCAAAAATGTTTTCTGTGCAGAATGGCTGTTTTCAAGTTTAACTCATAAGATACTAAAATATTCTTTCTGAAAACTTCAGGTGTCTGTTTTGATCCAACCGGTGTTCATTCTCACTTCAACAGTCAGGAGCATGTAATGCTAAGTCATGTTCTGATATTAGGAATAATTTATTCCTTAGCAGAAATTTACTCTTTATTACATTTTCAATAAACTTTCCAAAGTTGTTTTGTTCCGGAGGTGCACAGATTGCAGTTTTCTAGTTACCCAAAATGAAGGAAATCAAGGCTGGTTTATTGGTGCAGCCCTGGCGTTTTCTTCAGTTTTTGTTTATCTATGTCAGTGGTTTTTGCTACATTAGCCAAAATTGTCAGTTGAAAGAAAATTTGGGTAGCAAATTTTTATTTTATTTTAGTTTAAAAATGCATAAAATAATTTTGTGAGTAAAAAAAAGGCAATATTTTATTGTTAGTTGGGTTTATGTTAGAAGAGATTTGTAAATCATTGTAGACCAAAAACATAAAAATAAAAATTTTTAAATGAAAGGTTTCTTGATATCCTGCTACCTATGAAAAAAACAAACAAACAGGAAAATAGCTAATAAAGGACAAAAACTTTGTGATTGTTGTGATGTTTCTTTTTTTCAATGATTGGGGAAAAATAACCATTTTTCCTTTATTAAAGGAAAAAACTTGCAAATTATTCTAAATAAAAGCAGCATTGCTTAATTACATTGATCCATGGCACTCTTTAAGTTTCAGTTTTCACAAAGTTAAAAACCCTGTAGCCTTCTTCTACAGAGGAGGAGAAGCTCTTCTGAATTTTCTGCTCCATTCATTTATATACAAAGGAGGTTAATATTATTTTTAGTTATAAGGAACCAATCATCCAAAATTCAGATTTTAGAATAGAATAGCATGTACTTTATTGATCATTGAGGAAATTGTTTTTTTTTTTCTTTTTGCATGTTTTTGTACTTCCATTTGCTTCTAAAAACAGTCCAAATGCTTAATAAACAACCAGCCATTTTTTTGGCAATCAGTTTTTTTCTTTTGTTGGTGTCTGGAAAATGAGCTGTTTCACAAACCTCCTGATCGTTAAGCTACATTTGAAGGACACTGTGCTGTTACCTAGTAACCCAAGCAGAGTGAAGGCCGTCACCCAGCAACCAAAGCCGAGTTCCAGCAAGTTTGATCAGCTGTGCTGTACAATGGCTGCTGGAAAACAAGTGTTTTATTGTTGACTTACCATCCAGAAACAACTTGCTGCATTCTTGTTGGTTGTGCAGGAGGCTCTACTTCTGTTTTTCAAAGATGTATGTTTGTATATTTCCACACCTGTTTGCAGCCATTTTCACAATAAAGTTTAAACGTTGAGTTGGGGGCGTGGCCAGTAGTAGCTTACGTGGATTTAAAGTGACAAGACACCCTAAAACAACTCATCCTGAAAGGAGGTGAAAATAGGCAGAACTGAGCAGACTAAAATCTCATTATCTAAGAATGATTTTGTGCAAAAAATTTAATGAGCATGTTTTGTATAGCTGACAGACCTGTCTTAACCTAAGTAGGCTCTACAGCAATTTGACAAAACCAGTCCTGCTTTGCCTTTTAGTTCAAACTCAGGAACAACACATTTGTACAGGCTCATAGTTCTTTATATCTCAAGAAATGCCAAGTATAGACACATCAAGAATCTAAATTAATTTACATGCAAGTATTTTCAAAATAAGTTCCCTGAAGAGTGACTGAATGGTACACAGAACACCCTGAACCTGCAGACTCTCTCAAGCCTTAAAATAAATGGTTGTTATGGAAACTTTGTATCCAGATGAATTTATGAATTTCTCTAAAAGGGGAGATTTAGTATGTTTCTTTTCTACATTCTTCAGCATTTTTCCTCGCTGGTTGTAATCCGACTGTTATGGTCTTTTCTGACTTATTTCACCAACTGTCTTCTTTGTTTGAGTGACGTGTTCTTTTGGCATTTTAACTAACAAATGGCGTTTTAACTAAAACTCTGAGGTTTAAGAATCCTTGTCAAATGGCGTTTTAACTAAAACTCTGAGGTTTAAGAATCCTTGTCAAATGGCGTTTTGACTAAAAATCTGTAAACTCCGTCCTGTCAGGCGACGGGGATTTTTCAAAATCTCTTTCTCTTTCTTACAGTTTATTCAATGTCACATGCTGTTCTTATTTTTTTTTTCTTTAATTATGTAAAGCACCTTGAAATGCCCTGCTGCTGAAATGTGCTATACAAATAAAATTTGATTGATTTGAATGATTGATTTTGTCTTTCCCATCTTGAAAAATGGCTTTAGACAATTGTGCCTCTGTGCTTAGTCATGTTTACAATCTAAGAAATAGAAACTCATAATATTGATAAAATGTTCAGTACTATGAGCATCTATCAAAAGTAAAGAGCCAAGCACAGAAAAGGCAAAAAGTAAAGTTTGTTAAAACCAATTATTTATCTGCTTCAACCCTGCTGTCCTCCAAATACATCCAAGATTTTTGCCATACACTGTAAAAACAAAAGAATCTTACCAAGTAATTTTGGTCTAGTTTCTAGTGCAAATATCTTAGTAAACTTGAAATAAGACCAAACTAACTTGCAAGTAACTTTTCAGCAAGATCTAAGTGCTTTATCAGCCTATAATTTCTAATAATTCTGTCCGATTATTTCACTTATAACAGAAAAAAATTATCTTCCAATGGAACTAGTACTTTTTCCTCAATATTAAGGGATTATTAACTTAAAACATGCTTCTATATCTTGCTGAAATATGACTTGTAAGTTAGTACATTTGAAATAAGACAAAAGAAAGACATTTGCACTAGAAACCATAGTTTCTGGCAAATTCTTAAAATGAGACATTTTTTCCATTCTGAGTTAAATAATTTGCACTGGAACTAATAATTTTTTTAATCAATATTAAGAAATTATTAACTTAAAACAAG